TGATGGTAACTAAATTGTTAAATAAATTAAATATATAATGAGAAACGAAAAATTAAGGTATTATTGAAATAACTAAACTATAGTAGGGTTATAATCTTCTAAAAAATGATTCTCACTTGATATAACATTTAATATATTATAGATGTATAGAGTTGTAGATATAACTTATTGGATAATTAGTTTGTATTTGATCGTCCATTCATTAGATATAAGTGCGCACCACATAGACTCTAATACATAAAATGTATTGCTTTAAAAATACAACTTTTCATTTTTGGACGAAAACCATGCATAACATTTTGTAGAAAATTTTGAATTATGATCCATGAATTGCATTATACTCTTGACTCCTTAAGTTTTTAAATGGTATATTATATACCTTGCGAGGATATTTTAACAAATCTTGGCACTATTGTTTCTCCACGTGTTATGCACGTTGGTTCCCTAGTATCGACGATCACCCCTATTGAAATCTAAGTTGTTTCACTAATGTAACATAGTCATGATTAATATATGACAACTTGATTTATAGAGATGCTAATCTAGATACGAAATGTGGAGAAAAGAAGCACTAATGCTAGAATAGATAATGACTAAGATAAATATTCATTATGGACCATATAATCTTAAACAATATTCATTATGGACCATACATGTATATAAAGATTGACACAATGGTTTACACTCACGTGAGTTGGCAGATTTTGGTACATTAATCTTGACAACTCATTTTTCGATCAACTGCCATATTTTTTTACACATAGGAAAGTGTCAATAAAGGTGTATACTTTGTGTGTACAAATAGTTTAATCGATTCATTATACCAATGAAAGACACAAACGTTCGTGCAATGCAAGCACAGGTGTATATATACACACAAGAATCTGTATCACCTACGTAACAATTTGCAGAGATGAATAGGTAAAGAAACTGCATGGTTCGAAATTTCTTTTAGCTTTCAATTTTAGCCCGATGTTATGGAATTCTGAGGCATTCCATTAATTTCATTTTCATAATTTTCGTCAACTGATTCAGTGTTCTCTTCTTCTCTCTATTCGCTCACAAGTCATAACCCCTAGTTAATGCCAAAGGATACATCTCATAAGCACATTACATCTAAATGATCACATCTCCAGCTTCCACGCTCCTAAATCCCAAAAAAGTTAGCCATGGCAAAACAAGATGAGCCCATGTCCATCGGGAACACAATTACACAATATATCAGGATTTCACGTTATGTACATAATGAGGAAGTTGTATTAGTTTACTTCATGAGATATATTTAGGAGGAGATCTTGTATTCTTTAACGAATTCCGGCAAGTCTACTATGCCAAGATATGGTCTTTTCTTCTCTCTAGTAGCACAATATCCCCATTTCAGGTCACTACTAGACCCCAAGAAGATACATCTGACAAGCACATTACATCGAATTGATCGTGTTGTTGGGAAATTATTTAATTTCCCGTGATGGGCGACATATGTAATTAACTGTGTGTAAATGATATCTTCAAGTTAAGTCCAAAATTAAAGTGAT